CTGGAGTAAGAAGGAAGGTGAAATGTATTTGATTTAGTGGTTCACTAGGACTTGAGAAAGAGTTGGCTCTGAGGAGCACAGAGTGCAATTGATACTATGTCTTACTCAGATGGACTGCACTAACCTAGCATTGTGGCAGGTTCCCACCAGCATATTTGCCCAGTACGAGTCTTGGCCTTGTGCCAGGTATTCTACAGGCATGCTCACTGCAGGCTGCATTTAATTAACTTCACAGTCCATTACCATGAGCACATCCTGCTCCTGGCAACAATTTAATGATAAGGCAACATACTTAAACAAGGCTTTCCTTATCTAACAGACTAGAAAATGCTTTGAATTTCAAAGTAGCCATATTCTGAATTATTCGTATTATAAAGAATACAAAAACCTATCCTTTCAGCTGGGGAGTGACAATACCTTCAAAGTATCCAATCCATTGGAGTATCCAAAAACCAAATTAATGAAGTTTCCCTCTACATGGAAAGACTATTTGTAAACATTCCAGTACTGCATATTAAGTTAATATCCTATATATTTCCACCAATTTATAAAGATTTAGTTTTGTAATTCTATGGTTTAAAACATCTTCACATGTAAAACATCAGCTGCTTTCAGGTATTTATAAAGAGGTGTTTTAAGTCATACTGACCTGAAACTTGATATACCAGTCTTACCCTTTTTTTTAGCTCAAAGTGGTTGAGTTTAATTGCCTTGTTAACTTTGATATATTTAATGAGTTTAAAAGAGTTCTTTTATTTGTCCTTAAAAGAAGATGGTACTGGCATACGTGGGCAAATTTTGCTATACTTGCAGGAGAAAATAATCCTAAGATTTCACAATGTTATATCTGTCTGATACTACACCTCTCTCATCTTTTCTGTGTGCTGTCCAGGGTTCTGTTTCATCTCTCTAACAAAATTCACCATATTTACAATGGTAATTTTCAATCTTACCTCTCTCTTTAGCCGCTGCTTCTCTGCTCAGCCTGATATTCCTTACTTGATGTCCAACTGCTCACTCAAATTCAACACAACAAAGGCACCTTCCCCAAAGCTTCCAACCCACTCCTTTCTCCATTATAACAAGTAATTATACCACCTTTTACCATATCCAAAAGCAATGAACTCGCTACCACCTGCAACTCCTTTTCTCAGTTAGTTCTACACCTCAAAGCTATTGCTAGATCCTCAGGCCTCTCCTGCTTATCCCTTGCAATTCTCTTCTAAATTCCCTAGGTCTTAGTCATCTCATTCCTGAACTACTGCAATCTTCTACTCTTTAATTTACAACGATGGTACTCAACCTCCAGCCCAACTGGCCAGATCTAGCCCACAGAATCCTGGCTTTCAGCCTGAATGCTGCCTCAGGGGTCCAGAAAACTGGCATTCTGTTTTGCCAGTGTCACCTACTAAGTCCCCTCCACCATTTTGCTACTCTCTCTGAATCAGATTCATAGATATACATTGGAGGTGTACCAATACATTGGTCTGATATCAGATCAGTACCGATATAAATAAAATTGTCTGTATTGGATATCTGTCTGATGAGGCCAATAATTTGGCCTATAATGCCCATACTGCACACAGCCACAGCACAGCAAGGAGCAGAGCTGGCAGTGTGGCGAGCTGCCTCTAGCTGGTAAGTTTCATAGTTTCATAGTTTCTACGGTCGGAAGGGACCTGAGCAGATCATCTAGTCCGACCCCCTGCCACGGCAGGAAGAGCACTGGAGTCAAACGACCCCAGTAAGGTGGTCATCCAACCTCCTCTTAAAAACCCCCAGGGTGGGAGCCTGCACCACCTCACTTGGAAGCTAGTTCCAGACTCTAGCCGCCCTGACCGTGAAGTAGCGCCTCCTGATGTCCAACTTAAACCTTCCCTCCGCCAGCTTGTGACCATTGTTCCTGGTCACTCCTTGCGGCGCTCGGGGGAACAGGGACTCCCCCAGCGCCTGCTGATCCCCCCTAACCAGTTTATAACAGGCCACAAGATCCCCCCTCAGCCTTCTCTTTTGAAGGCTGAACAGGTTCAGGTCCCGCAACCTTTCCTCATAGGACCTACCCTGCTGTCCCTTGATCATACGAGTGGCCCTCTTCTGGACCCTCTCGATGCTGTCCACATCCCTCTTAAAGTGCGGCGCCCAGAACTGGACACAGTACTCCAGCCGCGGCCTGATCAGTGCCGCATAGAGGGGGAGGATCACCTCCTTGGACCTGCTCGAGTTGAAAGGGGAGGAGGGAGTGATGGTGCGTGGGGGTCAGATCAATGCTCCCCAAGGTGAGGGACGGGGCAGGGGCAGGCACTGCCCAGCTGGGACAGGGCAGTGGGCACAGGACAGAGGTGCGAGCAGCTCCTGCCACTGCTTGCACCCCAGGACGGCAGGGGAGGGTGAGGGCCTGTGCCCCTGGATCTGCGCAGCGTAGGGCAGGCAGCAGCTGCGGGGTGGACCTGGAGCCGGTGCTACACGGCTCTTCTCACTGGGGGCTGGGCTCAGAGCAGGCTCCGGCAGTGCTGGGAGGAGGCTGCAGCCATCCCAAATTTTGCTGTAGCTCCACTCCCAGCCCTGCACTGCTGCCTGCCTGGCGCAGCCCAAGATGGATGCCCTGTGCCTCCATCCAAGCACTGGGAAAAGCTGTGGCTAGGCTGAGCAGTGGCGTGGGGTTGGGAGAAGAGCTGTGGTCAAACTTGGGGTGGCTGCAGCCTCCTCCCAGCACCACTAGAGCCTGCTCCGAGCCCAGCCCCCAGCGAGAAAAGCCCCACTCAGCACCAGTGCCAGCTCTACCCTGCAACTGTAGCCCACCTCATGCCGGGCAGATGCAGGGGCACCCCCCCCCCCAACTCCTGCCCTCCCAGAGTGCAAGCAACAGCGGGAGCTGCCCCCACTCCACAAGCCATGCCTCTGTCCCATGCCCCCTTTGCTGGGCAACACCTGCCCCCTCCCTTACCGTGGGGGGCATTGATCTGTTCCCCCTAAGCCCCTTCCCTCGCCCCTCCCTTACATGACACCGGACTGACTGCCTGATGGCAGTTACATTGGAAATTGGATCGGTATCAGCCAATATGCCTCCTTAAATATCAGTTATCATTAGCGCCCCCCACAAATCTCAATCAGTGCACCCCTAACGTTCATAGATGTTAGGGGCTGGAAGAGACCTTTCGAGATCATCATGTCCAGCCCCCCTGTACTTGGGCAGGAGAGATTGCTGGGGCCAGATGACCCCAGCAGGGTGAGCATCCAGATGTTTTTTGAAGATATCCAATCTAACTTAAACTGTTCATCACTGCAAAGATCTAAGTCTCTCTTCCAACATCTTTCTATAAAAGCCTAAAAAGGGAAACAGTCTGGGATTTAATTTTCCATTTAGCAGTCTGCAACAGATTGGCTTAACAGCAGCTGTAAATAACTGCAGTTCTAAATGCTAACCTCTACAAAGAGCCTGAAACAACCACAAAGTTGTATTTTGTGCTGATTTATCTCAAAGGCTTATTAATATTTTAATGAGTTTCAATAACATTTTAAAAGCACTACAGACTCCAGACAGTTCATCCAGAATACAAGGACCCTGATTTCATCACTGTCACCATTCTGATCCACTTAAATACCTTTCAGAGGCATTTACCTTTCAGGCCCAAATCTTCAAAATATTTTTTCTCCCCCAAGCCAATACTTGTGTTTCTAACCAAGGATTTTTAATTGGGGGGGGGGGGGGAATGGTTTTTTTGTTTTTT